TCTCCACTCTAGTCCTCTGTGGCTATGTCACTGACTCTGGGCCCAAGAGTCCCCAGGTCTTGCCACACTGCTGGCCAACCAGGTCTCCACCAGGGTTCACAGGAGTCTGTTAAACGTTGTAGGGCATAGCTCACAGCTTCATTGCTGTTTTTCCCTTACTTCCCCTTATCTGTGACGAATGTGTTCACCAATCAGAATGTGTATTCCCGTTGAGTCTTGGAAGGGGGTTTACTCTGAGGGGACCCAACCACTTGCCTTGATGTCTCCTGGGTGAGCAACTTGCTTGTTGTAGTAATCAGTCGGTCTGCCTATAACTGTTTTGTATTTTTCCTGTCGGTCTTACTTTCAAGACGTATCTTCTGTTCTTCTAGCCACTCCAGGTTGGTCTGCTTGTCCTTTCAAGTGGAAATTTCCCTTCTCTGAAGATTCTGGATGTGGTTTAGGATTCCACCTATAGTCTTATGTAATGCAGAGGCTCTGCAGGAAGCCTCCTTCCCTGGGTACATTGTAGCCCCATTTTAGGTATTCCAATCAGTTATAGGCAGAAGACAGACTTAATAAGCTTTCTATGGTGATATTTCTGGCTATTCCTTTCTCTCCCCCTCAAGTGTCTATTTTATAATGGTATGCCAGGGATACCAAGATTGAAAAGACAGCTAAGCATCTTAACATTATTTCCCCCCTTTTCCCCATTCCAACCATGTCTCAATCCCTTATCCCAGAGCCCTGTTGTTCCAAGGTTGTGCATACGTCATTATTATTTAAATAAATAATAAATTTAGTCCATGTAAACCTGCCTAATTGTTCTCCCATACGCCTTGTTCTTCCATTCCCCTCCCCCTTCTTGTATATTGCCCCCTCCCCTTCCTAGCACTCAACCTATCCTGTGTCTATTCCTTACCCTGTGCTCCACCTTCCCCTCCCTCCCCTCACTTCATCCCCCATATCCCAGTAGCCAGCAAAGAATCCCCCCCTTCCCTTTTAGTATGGGTTCTTTTCCTTAGTCTTTTACAGTAGTGGTCCTATGCAATATTTCTCTTTTTGTGACTCATTTCACTCAACATAATGTCCTCAAGGTTCATCCATGTTATGCGGTGGCTTGCAGCCTCCTTGTTATTCTTCAAGGTAGCATAATATTCCATTGTTTATTCATTGCTCAATTGATGGGCACTTTGGCTGTTTCCATCTTTTTGCTATTGTAAATAGTGCTGCATATATAAACATTGGTGTGCATATATCTACTCGTGTTAAGGCCTGTATTTCTTGTGGGTACATACCAAGTAGAGGAATTGCTGGATCATAAAGTATTTCTATTTCCAACCTTCTGAGGAAACGCCATATTGCTTTCCAGTTTAAAAGCTTTTTGAAATGTAAGAAATACCAGAGAGGTTCAGGTTGCTACTTTATGAAGTTATAACCTCTCTGGGGTTTGGTAAAGCAGGTGGGAAGTTGGAGGTCTTAATTATTGTGAATGAAGGAAATGGTACAAAAGCATGAGAACTGACACTTTTAATGAGAGTTGGGTAATGGAATTATCTCTTGGCTGTTACTCATCCACTCTAGTAGCTGTTAAATCCCTGTATGATTTTTCCAAACACCTTTTCTTATTCTAGCCCATGTCTCTTGGTTCCTACTGGCCACTTGCACTTCACTGCCCCATCTTTAAATTCAAGTTTGTGGAGAATTCCCCCAAACTTCCCCCCCAAAATTCACACTTTCTGTGAAGAATATTTTCCTGGATTTTTAATTCTTGCACGTATCAGTTACCAAGTCTTACAGTTAGCTTTCTTACCCCATTCTCATGGGCATCACCTGAATCCAGAAGTACATAGTCAGTAAGTCCTTGCAGTTCAGGTGGCACAGGCCGCTATTTGCCTGCCCTGTGCCAGTCAGTGCCTAATTAGGTCATTATATAGTGTAACTAGATAGCTGCCATTCAAGCTGATTTTGACTCGTGGCATGATAAGCCACCATGGACTCCAACATGGGTGAAACAGAACGAAACGCTGCCTAGTCCTGCGTCAGTCTCATGATGGCCGCCATGTTGACTGTAACCCATGACAATGGAATGAAGAATGGCCTGGTCCTGTGTCGTTGTTGGAGTTCATTATTGGTGCCACGTGCCAGTCCATCTCACCCTCGCTGATCCTCTGTTTCACCAAACATGGCACCCTCCTCTAACAACTTTAGGTGGGACAGTGCTGTTGTGGTCCACAGGTCGCCACTGCCTAACTGCCGGGCCTAGATCAGCAAGCCTGCCTTCCTAGTCTGCATCAATCTGGGCGCTCCCTTGAAACCTGTATTCCGCAGACAGCCCTGTTGGGATACGCAGTGTCCAGCACCATGGCAACTCACAGGCTTCCACAGTACCCACTGACCGCTGGTGGGGAATTCTTTTTAAAGCCCCATTCATTTTCAGAAGGAACTCTTGTTTGGGCCGTAGTTTTGTGTTCCCCACTTTGTGCTGTGCAGACTTTGGGTTCATCTAGCGTTAAACATCCTGGTACCATACTGCTGGCTGTTACCCTTTCTATTTTCTCACACTCTCTTTTTTGCTTGTCTGAGTCTCACCTTCCTCACAAAAAG